CTAAAAACTTTATCACAATTAACTGCACTATTAAACAACAGAAGAACATTTAAAATATTTTGGATGTTTTCTACATTTCAAATACTGTGGTTTCAATTACAACACAAAATACTCAGAGTACTAGTGGTCAATTTATATTTGCACACTAAAAAAAAAGAAATAGTATTTTTCAGTTCACCTAATACAAGTAGTCTAATGCGGTATCTTTATCATGGAAGTTTAACTTACAAATGTAGAATTATGTACAAAAAAATGCATGACTAACGGGGCGGGCGGGGGGCAGCAAAAGGGGTAGCTGTCCCAGGGAGAGAAGTGATTTAAAAGGGCCAGGAGCCCAGTGTTCTTCAAATCTCCACCAGAACCCAAGGGATCCAAGATACCACTACAGCCCCAGGTACCTTCCCATGAAACGCTGGCATGAGAGGAGAGGCCTTGAACCCAGACCCACCCGCTCCTTCTGAAAGGGTACAGACCACTCACCCTCTCCTGCACAGATGCTGGGCCTGGTGCAAGATGCACCTTTAAGTCCTGGCATCTACTTTCACCCATGCTTGTACCTCAGATTTTGGAATGCAGATTGCTAAACCTTGGGTCAAATGCTGTATCTATCTTTTGAGATCTCACATTTGTACCCGTGCTTTGCCTTTTGTCAAATCTGCAGTGAAAGTGTTCTTAAAATGAACATGTGCTGGGTCATCATCATCATGAAATATATAGTAGAATGCAGGTAAAACACCATTCCAAAGGTGGCCGAACCACAAAGGATATACAAATATTTATCATGCACGGCATGCAAATACCTTACAATGCCTGCTACAACAATGCCATTTCTTACTTTCAGGTGACACTGTAAATAAGAAGCAAACATTATTCCACAAATGTAAAGAAACTTGGTTGTCTTAAGGTGAATCTACACTGTACCCTTGCCTCAAAATAAGCTACGCAATTTGAGCTACACAATTTGCATAGCTAATTTTGAGGAATTTTGAAATAAAGTGCTATTCTGACAAGTCCCTTAACCCTCATGGAACAAGGGTTACAGGGATGCTGGAATAGCGTGCTCATTATTTTGAAATAACAGGTGCATTTAAAGACACAAAACTGTTATTTCAGGATACCGGAAGCATACCACAATAGCGCCGCTATGTAGACGCACCCTTAGTGGATAAAAAGTAGGAGTGAACTTGTAGGCCCTGAAGTTTTACCTTTTGCTTGTTTTTCTGAAGTGAAGTTATGTAACATTCTACATTTACTAGTTGCATTTTCACAATAAAGAGATTACCTCATACGGGTACTGCAGCATAAATTGTAGAATATAATTTCTTTAAATATTTTACAGTTCAACTATTTGTAAAAAAAGTGAGCACTACACACTTTATATTATGTGTTGTAACAGAAAATGCAGAAAATATAGAAAATATTTAATAAATTTAAATTGGTTATTAATTTGTTTAGCAGTGTAATTAAAACTGTGATTAATAGCAATTTTTTATTCATTTTTTTAATTAATCACATTAGTTAACTGTGATTAATCGACAGCTCTAAAAAGTTTAAGATCTTTGACTGAGCACAGCCAGAACACCTACTATTGCAAATATCTTTCAGACAGATAGCTGGTTGAAGACTTCCTCACCTGTTGTAATTACCATAGCTGCACTGAAATAAAGATTCTATCCGAGAAACTGCCTCATTTCCCTTATTTCCAGTTTATTATATATGTATGTTCTTCTAGAAATACAGACACGTACATATACATTTACTTTCTACCACATGAACTTTCTGAGTGCCATGACTAATTTTAATAGCCATACTATTTATGCAGCCAAAAGGAAATTCCCATCACTTGCTGTCATGGGCACTGTGATAAACACATGTAACACAGCACCATTTTTAGTGAAATTTTCAATATCTGGAAAAATAGTGTGCTTTATTTATCCCATATTTATCACTAGAGTCATCAAATTATGCAACTGTGGTGAAAACACACAATACAGTAGACTTCTGATAATCCAGCACCTTTGGGAGCTAGGTGGTGCCAGATTATCGGATATGCCGGAGTATCAGAAGGTACTCTGGCGGGGGACTGTGATGGGTCTGCCGGGACCCGCACTGCATCTGGGGGGGAGGGGTGGGCGGGGAATGGTGCGGCAGGGAGCAAACCCTCCGCCGTTTTGCAGAAAGGCGGGGGAAGCCCCACACCACTGCCGAGAGTTTCCAGGAGGGGAGCGGGCTCCCCGCCTCCCAGACTGCAGTCGTTATCGCCGAGCAGGGGAGTGAAGGGTGATGCTGCGGGACCAACACAGCAGCACCCCAGCTGCTCTGCTCCACCGCTTGTTGGCCGCTCGTCAGTTTCAGCAGCAGCAGCACAGAGCAGCTGGGGGGCTGCCGGGGTGGTCTCGCAGCGCCACCCCTCCCCCC